CAGCTGTCCCCTTTACAGCATCTAGCTGTCACATCACTACAGCTGTCCCCATTACAGCATCTAGCTGTCACATCACTGCAGCTGTCCCCATTACAGCATCTACCTGTTACATTACTGTGGTACAGCTGTCTCCCACATGCCAGAGTCTTTGTCTCCATGCCACCTTCAGGCTCCTCCCCCCAGGCCGTTTGTTCCGCTTCCTGCTCCCCACCTGCGTCCCCTGGGCTGAACAGGGGCAGATCAGTGAGAGCACTGGCCTCCCACGATGACTCCGCAAACCCCACACTGCTGCCTTTCTCCCGGGGGCAGGTGGTCACCGTCTTGGTATCGGAGGTCCTAAACGGCTGGCTATATGGCAGGGTGGAGGGGGGCTCAAGGTGAGCCTATAGTAGGGGGGCTTTCACAGGCGTGAGCCTATAGTATTTTATTATAAACCGGCAAGATTGTTTGTGAGCTGTTTTTACTTACACTTCCCACATGTATATCTTATATCTATTTATATATTTATATCTTCTTATTGCCCTCTACAGGCAGGGCTGGTTCCCCGCAGCATATGTTGAACCACTTGAGGATAGCCCTGAAGCCAGCCACCTCAGGTAACATGCAGGAGTATTTTACCAAAGTGTTACCAAAGCAAATATGTCTGCCAATTTTATCACATCACATGAACAATTTATTGCCTGCTCTAGTGGTTAAGCTAGTCTCCAAACATATAGTTAGAAAATTCACTAAATAAAGACTCAGTTAAGGTGTGACATTTGTTTTTAAAAATGCTGGGAACAGTTCTTTAAAAATGAGGCCCATGTTCTATCTGACCAAACAGCTTTTCGTGTCACAGCGCCAGCAGCTTCCTTCAAGTGAACACTGGGAGCAGTCAAGACGCAGCTCAGCCCCCTGCTCCGCCTCCAGCCCCGCCCCCTGCTCCGCCTCCAGCCCCGCCCCCAGCCCCACACTTAAAAGGCAGAACCTCTCCAGTAAGGACGGCAGAGTCCACCACTGCCAGCAAGGTGGGTTTGCAAATACTTGACCCTTGATTACAGTGCTGTTCAGTCTTTTTTTCAAAAACAATGTGGTGTTTTTACATAAATATATTTATAGACATCCATACACTAATATGCTAATTTTCTGGACTTCTATTTCAAACAGTATACAATATTTCCCTTATTGTGCTTAAAATGATGTCACAATAAATGACATTAAGAATATCTACATGAATCATACACCAATCATGCAGATATTACAGAGAGCAGTTAAGTATCATTGCAGTTCCATCCTCTGGCCTGCAGGGGCACTTTGGCCAGGTGCTCTTTTCTATGGCCCCTCAGCCGTCTTTCTGGTGGCTGCATGGGGGATGTTCTAGCTGCTGACAGCAGGGTGGTGACAGTATCCAGACATGTGAGTGTTGGACTGTGCATGTGGTGGCCCGTGTGTGCATGTGGTGGCCCGTGTGTGTATGTGGTGGCCCGTGTGTGCATGTGCTGGCCCGTGTGTGCATGTGCTGGCCCGTGTGTGCATGTGGTGGCCCGTGTCTGCATGTGCTGGCCCGTGTGTGCATGTGCTGGCCCGTGTGTGCATGTGCCGGCCCGTGTGTGTACGGTCAGGGCTTAGCATGACGAGTGAAGTCCTTTGGGGCAGCCACATGCCTGAGCATGTAAAATGCATCATAAGCAAGAAGTGACACAGATTCAGTGCAGAGAATCCAGCATTACTTAAAATAACATCTGAACAAAGTTTCTGTAGACGTGGGAACTTAGGGAGGACCCAGCACACCAAACTGAGACGTGTTCGTTCTGTCTGCTAAGACATCTGGCGGGGGAGGGGGGGGGTGTGTGCTGAACCCTCTGAGACGCACCTCTAATCGTGTCATCCCCCGCCCCCCCCCCCGATTCCCTAGGGACACCTGCCGGATCTCCATCCCAGGTAGGTGCCCTTTCTCCAGTGTTTGCAGTCAGTTTAATAACAGTTTTATCTGCTATTCTAATGACCTCTTATTTAATTTGTATTAAAGGGTGAAATAATAATTAACTTCCCACTAAGCTGAATGTGCTTTCCTTCTTCAGGGGAAGCGACCATATTGCGACAGAAACGCTGCGACCCTCAGCTGCTAATTACAGATCTGCCCCCCGGATTCAATTACACTAAACATGGGTCTTCAAAATCTTTTTTTTGACATCATAACCCTAATTTTCTCCTCAAAAATCACTGTCTGCATGGACCCTCTGCACTTATCCAGATGGACACCTGCTTAAAAATGTCCTCTGTAATAGCTCAGCTCTGGCTGCCCGATGAGAGAATCGCAGTGGCCAGTGACCAGTAGCCAGTGGCCAGTGGGGCGATAGGCTCCCCACCACTGCTGCCATTCGCCTGCAATTAGTGGAGGTCTGACAGGCTAACTCAGCTGTTGTATAGCAGGGAGCTGATTTATCACAGTCAATCAGTCCCTCCCTCCCTCACATTGTTACATACCGTAAGGATGTGTGTATGTGCCGCAAGGTTTTGGGTTTCTTGTCGTACAGTTCAGTGATTTGCCCCTGGGTCTCCCTCGGCAGAAGTCGTCACTCTCAGCCACTATGCAGATAAGGATAGACGACTCCAAGGCTACCAGCTCTTGCTGACTTTCTTTCTCGCCTTTGCTGTCTGATTATTGTGATTTCTGCCAATCTGCGTATGACCCTGGTTTGTTTACTGGTTTTCTCGATTTTTGTCTTTCCCCTGGTATTGTCACTATTTCCCGTTGTAAGCCTCTCTGATTGCCGACTCGTTTCGCTTGGGCCCTTGACTGGATTAAGCCCATTCCCCGTTTCTGACGCTTGTGTTATTATTTATAGTGTGATCTGGCTCCTACTATAAGGAGCGACTGCTGTGTCCTTTTGACTTGGTTCTTTTTGTATGTTTGGTTAGGGAGTTAGGATAAGTGTTTTGTTTTGATTTCTTTTCTTGTATGGAAGTTAGCTGGGTTTTCAGGTGTGTAGGATTGTTTTGTTTCTTGTGTTGACCTGGGTCACTCCAAAAGTCTGTACATACACTTTGGTCAGCCACTTGGTAAATACACCCCTTTTTATACTGTTCTGTGTACCGTGGTTGTTTTCTCCCCACTCCACATGACATTCTGTTGCTCCCCCACCGCTACACTGGGGGGCTTGTAGCACAAGTATTAGGGCCTAGCAGTGAGGCAGAGTGGCGAGGGCTCAGGCCACCATTGCAGCAGGGGGCCAAGCCCTGCTGGCTGTAGATCTGTAAGCTCTCCTGTCTGTCATGTGGATTCTGGGTGCAGAAAACAGCCTGTGTGACATCGGCCACGGTGGCCCGTGTGAGACTGGGCACCCTGCCCCCGCCACTCTTTATGAAGTGTGTGCGAGACGCTCCCCCCCCCACCACCCCCCGGCTCTTAGACTTCACAGCTCAGCAGAATCCTGAAAGCAATGTCAAATAAAGAGCCGTTCTGAGACCATACGCGTGTGTTTATTTTTTTTATTTTCTTGTTTTCTTTTTTTCACAGCTCAACTTATTTTCCTTTCAGTGAATTTCACAACGGCTCATTACCAGATGAGGGATCCCGAGGGGGAGCCGGGAGGATTATGTAGGGGGGGGGGTGTTACATATTTATATATCTACATGAGATTCGACCTTCGTCACATTTGCTGACTGTATTTGCGGTATTTGTATAAAAAAGGTGAATGGCCTGTTAGGCACTACCTTGGAGGGTAGGGGGCTGTAGGCACCCATGTTTCTGTCCAGTGTGTCTGGATGGAGAAACCGGGATGTCGTGGGCCTTTGGGGGGGCTTGTAAGGAGCAGCGACAATGGAGATAGCAATGAGTTAAGGACCATGAGGGCAGAGCACTAGTCTGTCAGAAAGGCGTTGGCTTTTACTCCAGAACCAAGGCTGCAAACTCTGAAAGAGAGATGGGGGGGAGGGTGTCACATGACTGATGATGACATCACAGGAGTTACGGCCAGTGGCATCGTCGTAATCTGAATGTTAGCTCACTTGACCACTGACATTTGAGATTCACTTAAATCACATTAGAATCTGGACAAATAGAAATTTTGAGAAAATATTCCTACATGGCATACTAGATTTGCCAAGGTTGTCACATCATTTGGATAGGACCTAGTTTTTAAAATTGTTTAAAATTATTATTCATTCATATTAACATAAAGACAGAATCATTTGTGCCTAAATACAAGAATATTAATATTTTGGTAAGTATGAAATCTTAAATCAGTCCAACAAGTTAATGTTCCTGTAGAAAATAAGAATCATCATCTGTAGCAGTAATGTGTGATGCTGTGTTAACACCGTGCTGAACAGAGAAGGCAAACTCCAGGTTTGTAAAAGAATGAGAGCCCAGCATTCCTTCCACATTTCAGCATGATGGATGCCTGGAAATAGGTCTCCCACCTTCCATCCCGATCTTCCCATCTCCGTCCTTGTCGGCTGCTTGCAAGAAGGCTTTGGTTTCTTTGTCAGTCAGGTCCCTGCCGTCCGTGGAGAAACCCTTCAGCACAAACCTGAAGGAGACAGGGCATCATGGAGGGCAGGAGGGAGCAGAAGAGTGAGAGAGTGCCATCGCACCTCTGCTCTCCCAGGCATGGAGTGGTTAGCGTGCACACACACACACACACAGACATACAGGTTTATAAATATATCTTTGTGGGGACGCTCCATTCATTTCTATGGGGAAAACTGTAATTCCAACATGACGACCTTAACCCCTACCCAGCCCTAACCTTAACCATTCACAGATCTTTGTGGGGACCCGAAAAAGTGGTTCCCACAACATCAAAATGACAGGTTTTTATCACATTGTGGGGAATATTTGGTCCCAACAATGTAATATAAACCTAATCCACACACACGCATACACAGACACACATAGATGCGCACACACACACACACATGCTGCTCCCTTGGCTAATCCTGAGGGTGGGGGTCTGGGAATGGCTCCGGAAGGGATCTGGCAGAGAGGAACTGGGAAGAATTTCAAAGTGCAACTTTTGATGGGGGTGCAGTGTTGTGGAGCACATTCACAGGTAGCGTCCCCACCTCCCTCACACTGTTGCCCGCCTGCCCCCCCCCCCTGCCTCTCACTTGAGCTCCTCCTCTTCGATAAATCCACTGTTGTCCACATCCAGGGCCAGGAAGGCTTTCTTCACGTCGTCGGTAGATTTGTTCTTCAGACCCACCATCTCGAAGAACTTCTTGTGGTCAAAGGTGTCTGCAGCTAATAAGAACCGGGCAAGGTTAGGAATGGGGACAACTGGGAAGTGACGAACTGCCCAGTGACAGTGTCCCAGAAAAGCAGCAGCAGCATCCTTTTGGTGGACGACTCTTGTGCTATTTCAGCATTTTGTTTCCAGATTTTCATTCACAACCTTGAAATAAAAACTGATGAAGAGGGATTATGACACAGAATGAGGTTCCCCTGACTGATACTGTTGTGGGGGGGGCTCACCTTTGAATGCATCAAGGGCCTTCTTAATGTCCTCAGCTTTCAGGATGTCATTCATGGCCATCTTGGTAGCTGCAGGGTGAAGTGAAGGACACTGTAGTCAAGCTGCGCATTTCCACGAATTGGAACGGAACAGCGATATTGGGGGCATGTGAGGGGAAGAGGAGGGAGGAAGGTCGGATTGCCTCGAATGAGATTCTGATATCAGATGGCCAACACACCACCTCAGAAACACAATGTCAGGTCACAAATTGTCTCTTAACATGTGCTAACAGCATTAAGCTAAAGCCAATGTTAGGCCAGATGCACAGCAATGAAATGGCTTCTTAGAAAGGGTCATATCTTCTATTATATGTGGTCCAAGGCAATAAGAATCTGGGATAGAACCTTAATCACCGCAGACAGACGGCTGCTGGAGAACCTGCGTTAATGTTGTTACTGTAGCTCATTTAGCTAAATTTGTTTATGCTGATGATGCCTTAACTAGGGCTTTGCCTAACAGCCTTGCAGAAACCCGTGAGGGTACGTCCACAGTAATAATACGCTTTCGTTTAGTAACGCAAAAATTTCATTCCGATTTAGCCTTCCATCCGCACTACCACGGATCTTTTTTTTCCTACGAGCGAAGAAATATTTCAGCGCTGTCCGACAACTAATCTTTCTGTAAACACGTTAGTGAGGACGCTCATAAATGTAAAAATTTTGTTACACCTAAATCAGTGAGCTCCAATTCGTTCTATTTAGCTGATTAGCTATCTTCATTTTGATGTCTCTTTTCCTGATTGCTTATTCTTCACAGGAAAGAAGAATGCTTTTCCACTGTTTCCACGGAAGTAAGCCACAGGACTTTTGCTACCTAGCATATGTTGTTTTGCTTGTTTGTGTGCAGCTAAATCATGTTTTGTGTACATTGTATGCTGTTTACAACTATTGTGAAGCTCAAACTGACACTGTACCTGAGCCAGGTTTAAATGCAGCTCTACCTTATGATAAAGACATCCGGCCAACAAACATCAGAGTAAGACCAGAGTGCACTTTAAACTGAGGGGAACAGAGTGAGACGGGTAATGAAAAAATTTCTGTATCCCTGTGTTGTTGCTGTGATGGTTTCTTTCATGTACTGCTTTGTGTTTGCGACGCTACAGTATTATGATATTTCGCCTTTATTAAATAAAACACGTCCATTTACTTTAAACACATGGTTGTGTGTGAGATTAATCAACAGTCAAGCATTTATAAAAACTGAACTTTATTACTAATCAAAGTCAAAATACATGATTCAAAATATATACTTTGACACTTCTAGAATTATAAACAATTTTGGTTGGACAAAAAATGCACAAATGATATGTTGTTTTGCTTATTTGTGTACAGCTAACACGACAAACAAAATATAAAGTTCACCACTTCTAAATACATATTATAAAAAGCTTTGGTTAAATGTGCAAATGAAAAACGTCAGAAATATATACATTTACAACCACTCTAATATATGCCTACAATATACAAAATTACACAAATGCTAAAGCTAATTATTTGTGCAGTCATAAGCTACATCATTTGACTTTTACAAGGAGCAGAAGTTTTTTTCAGCACTAGTGATAATGGTAGTGCGGATGCAGATCTTTTCTTTCAGAAACTCCCCTAAAAATAATTTGGGGACGCAGTGCAGACCAGAGTTGCCAGGGTCCGCGGTTTTCCCGCCCAATTGGGCTATATTGAAAATACAGTTGTGGGTAAATATTAGGAGGTCGCGGATTATGGGTTTTTGGGTTGCTTTCGTAATGTTCCACGGTAGCGGACTGTAATAATTAAGTTAATTATTATTAAAGGTGGCTCCTAATGCTGAGTAATACCGAATCGAAGCTACCAAAGGTTAGAGACAGACGCACTTGGAATGCAGGGTTGCCAAGTCTCACGTATCTGGCTCATGCTTTCAGACTCTTATGGCAAATCTATATTATTCCACTATGAACCTAAAATTAGCTACATTTGCAAACCCTACAGACTATTTACAGTACAAGTTACTAAAACTGTTACAAGTATGTAAATGCATGTACAGACATGTCATCTCACTCCAGCCAGCTAGCCAAAGAGAGTGCGTCTGTCTAACGACGTCTTTGTGTTTAACTGCGGTTTTAAAATGCTGAACATTCAGCATGCAAAATACTGGTTTATTCTTTGAGGTAGAGTATACTAGGATTTCAAATATTTGGCTAGTTTTAGCTTCCATTAGGTAGATTTTAAGCAGACCTTGGGTACTATTTTTGCTGGGCCTGGCAACACGTACCGTCAGACATATCTTAACTTACAAACTCTCTGGAGAGCTGGAATCGCACAGATGACACACTAATTCATGCATATACAGGAAGTCCACAGGTTAATAACATCCAACTTACAGACAACTCGTACTTATGAACAGACTGTCATAAAACCTATTTTATGAGAAGTTTGGGTTAAGTATATACACAATGTTCGTAATAATGAACGCACACACTACTTTCTAACGCTCATGAAAACACCGCATGGCTTCATTAGTTCGTTGGCTTGAGGGACAGTATAGTACTGTATGTAATTACTCTTATGATTACTATATTACTATTGCAGTATTATTATTTTAAGATGTTCTACTGTATTGGGAAGTGTTTTATATGCATAGAAAGGCAAAATATATACTATATGATAGGACAAACATTTGACTAACTGACAGTAATGAGAACTATACGTATCTGTTTCAACTTGCCTACAAATTTGACTTAAGACAGACTTAGGGAACGTGTGCTGACACATAACCAGGGACTGTCTGTAAAGCAGGGCTTAGTGGCAGTGAGCAGTGAGCAGTGAGCATGCTGCAGTATCAGCGCCTCCTCCAGTTACCACCCACTGCGAACTGGCTGCCGTGAGCGGAACCTGTGAACCAAGCAGCATCACAGCACGTGACGGAAAGTGCTGCATCGGATTTCTCTGCTGGGCTCGTTCGAGTAATGGATGCTATT